TCGAATCGGGTGTGCTTTGATAAGAAATTTTGTGATGACCCCTCTTCCGAGGTTTTCAAATTTTGTTCCTTGCTGAATTCTTGGAGAATATTACAGAAAAGCCAAGACATAAGCATAACTGAAGATGGTGTGTTAAGGACCAGAGAGGTGTTGCGACAAATCTTCAACTGAAGACATGGATGGAAACCTTTGGGCGGGAGGATTTGAAGCTGAGTGGTGTTGGGAGTCTCATTTAGCTATAAGCTTTTCTTCCCTGGGCATGATGTAATAAGTAGCATGGTGAAAACTTGTTTGGAACTTTTAGAGCAATTTCACCCTAGAGTGTGTGGTTGGTTGACTCTGCCTGTGTGCAGTAGTAACCACCGACTTTTGCTTCTGTTGCCTTCAGGGGCTTTCTTTCCCGTTTGGTGTTGTTTCATTTGCTACCTTGTAGTACTAGGGTTGTTTCTTTAATAGAAATAGTCAAGGGGAGGCTCGTTGATTCGAAGAAAAGAAAATACAAAACCCGTACATACATGCTTGATTTAGACAACAGAACATGGTTTGCTAACTTCATCAGACTATTTTATCCGTCCGGGAGGTCAGTTGCACTATGTACGGTTATGTATAGTACTCCATGAAGAGAGAGAGAGAGAGAGAGAGAGAGAGAGAGAGAGAGGAGAGGGGGGGAGAGTAACTTGAATGTCGTATGTACGTACTATACTTTCGCCGGGGTTTATTAGTCATAGCGCATTTTGGGTCAAAATTTGACCATGCATTTAATTTTGAACTAAAACCACGACACTTATTTTGTATCGGAGGGAGTATATTTATATGTAACAAAAATAATATCGTTGGAAACTCCTTTCAAATACGAATATACCAATATAATTTGTATGTCATACAACTTATATTTTGCTACTCAAATCTAAGGTCAAAATTTAGTCAAATACGAAAAAAAAACTAATAAACCCGGACAGTTAGTACATTCATAAGCTCCAACTCCACAGCGCTATACACGTATGCATGCGACCATTAATTCAAAATGGTACCCGCATATATGCACGTGGAATTATAGAATGAGCGTTGTACTACTGGGTAAAGCCACACGTTGTGTGTCAAAATTCTTGGCTGCAACAGCAGCTAGACCGTAGAGGACTGCAGGTATGTATCTGCCCTTCCTCCCAAAAAAGAGAGAAAAACAAAGTACTCCATGTCTGTCCAAACGCGGGATTTAAGCACACTAAACCACATCCAGTTCGAATCAAGTATCTCGATCATTCAGCAGTAACCTGCAGTAATATGCCTGTAAAAAACGAAATCTGCAGTTCATTTTATATGCCGACAGTTTGTTCTGACGGATACGCCCACATGGATAAATGCAAACAGAATCTTAAACAAGGAGATGTCACTAATAGACACATTAGGAATTGACTGATTCTACACATCACACTAGAATACGTGGTAGTAGCTAGATCGCCTTGCCCCCGCACCCACTGAAAATTATATATTCCATTCAACAAAAGTCGTATCTTTGCGCCTATCATCCTTTGCACGCTTTTGCAATTAAAAATGAATATCAAGAGGGGAAGGCGAGACTAGGTGCAAGCTCAAACCCTCCTCCTCACTTCCACGCCTCTCTTCTCTTTACACACTTAGCTACCTCCCACTCTCTCATCATGTCTTCCGGTGGTGGCGGGGGAGGGGATCAGGGCCGTCATGGCCTCTACCACCAGCATGGCCACGGCCAACTCACCCGCTACGATGGCGCCGGCGGCTACGAGCTCAGCAACGACGACATGGAGAGCTTCTTCTTCAACCAGCCCGAGGGCGTCGGCGGTGGTGTACGCGACGACGAGATCGCGCCGTACTCGAGCATCACGAACTACCTGCAGGGGTTCTTGTTGGACCCCGCCGGGCTAACTCGGCATCTCGACGTGCCGGCCAAGCACGAGCTGTCGGTCGACGTTAGGAGCCATGACCAAGAGAGCCAGGGCACCGGCAGCGCTGCTGGAGAAAGCGCGGCGCTGCTAACACCCAACTCATCGGTGTCTTTCTCGTCCGGAGGCGGGGACGGTGAGGGAAAGTCTCGCCGGAGCAACAAGGGCCGGGCGCAGGAGGCGGATGACCAGGAGGATGGGAAGGACCATGAAGATGGGGAAAGTTCCAAGACAGCGTAGGTTTCGCCAATTTTGATGCTGATCTGCTGTGTGAATCACCTTGATTTCTTGCTTCGCCGATTCCTTTTGTCGTGAGCTTATGCGATGTGTTCATACAGTGATAGATCTGGTCCTACTATTGCTTACTTACTTGGATTTTCTTTCGTTCTGCCCCATTGTGTTTGTGCCTTGTCTATTAGGTGATGTGAACATTAGGGTTTGCTACGGTTTGCTTCATTAGGGTTCTTATAGTTCATCTGGAATTAGATCCGGTTAGCCCCCAAGCTGACTCACACTTTTGTCGTCTTATATGCTTCTTATTGCTTTGGTCCAAGATAACTTTATAGATCGTGTGGTATTCAATTTAAAAGACAATCAACGTACACTCTAGAAGAGATCTTCCTTAGAACTAATCAATTGCTGCGCATGCGTGCCGTAGCTTCAAACTTTGACCAAGTAGATAGCTTAGTCTTTGAAGACCCAAAAATAAAGATCTCTCCCCCTTTTAGAAAAGATCCAAAAATGTAATATAATCTCCAAAAGCATCAAGGCCATTAGTATAAATTTCCTAAATTTTGCATTACATCAGGTTGATCTTGTCATGACATGTGATCTCTGTATATAGGTATATATATATCTAGCTAGCTAACTTACTACACTCCCTATCTGTTATGGAACTATAGATCTACAACACTGATCACTCTCGGCAAAACTACATAACATGGGCTGCACCGTTCCATGAAATATCTAGGCGACATAGTTAGCTATATATAGTACTTCCGGAAAATCACGATTGATTGATTGACCTAGCTAAGCAAGGCACTGATGGATCAGTGCCTGTTCTGTTTCTAGCCTGTTAACTGCTTATTTATTTTTGTTTTGCGATGAACCTAAGTGATTAATTACTTTGCCGCTGCAGGAATAACAAACCCAAAAAGAAAGCCGAGAAGAGGCCGCGGCTGCCCCGCGTCTCCTTCCTCACCAAGAGCGAGGTCGATCACCTCGAGGACGGCTACCGCTGGCGCAAATACGGCCAGAAGGCCGTCAAGAACAGCCCTTATCCAAGGTACGCTTTAGTTGCATGCATGAAGCTCAGTGTGAACCGGCCGTGATAACGTAATGTAAATGGCAACGTGCGCAGGAGCTACTACCGGTGCACGACGCCCAAGTGCGGCGTGAAGAAGCAGGTGGAGCGGTCGTACCAGGACCCGTCGACGGTGATCACCACGTACGAAGGGCAGCACACGCACCACAGCCCCGCCAGCCTCCGGGGAAGCGCCGCGCACCTCTTTATGCCCCCCGGACTCCACGGGCTCCCGCCGCCGCACCTCATACCGCCGGGGGTGTTCCACCCAGAGCTGATGAGCATGATGCGCATGCCCTACCCAAGCCCTAACATGCACCTGCTGAGCGTGCCACCGCCTCCCCATCATCATCCAGCCTCTCATCCAATGGCGGGAACTCTCCAGCAGCACCATTTCACTGACTACGCGCTATTGCAAGACCTTTCCCCTTCCACAATGCCCAACAACCCCTGACTAATTAACTCCTTCAGACACACTTAATTAATTAGTAGCTAGCTAGCCTAGTAGATATGCATATATGATGCTTTCCAAATGCTGGAGTTGCGCCAGATGTGATCGCCAGGGTTACCCTTGAGCTTGGTCTATGCATGGTGCGGTCCTGTTATCCTAATTATTAATTCCATGCAAGCTTTTCATCTTGAACTTGTGCCTACATTGCTTTAATCCTCTTCCATTTGTCCTCCACGGGCAAATTGGATGAGTTGATGAAGCTGGTCTAATAACTAGAACAGTTGCAACTTATTAATTTATATAGCTCGTACCGTGGACTTCTTGTACATGTACTCGAGTGCATATGTGTACCTCGTTCATGAGAGGAATATTTCACTTCACTTTCGTTGCTGTGAGGAATTATTTACACAAGCTGCCATCTCAACTTCTGCTTGTTCGTCGAACGCTTATATATATATATTTAAGGGCACTTCCTTGATGGCCGGTGGCAGTTTCTTTAATTTTATGCATGTGCAAACCATACTCGAGATAATCATGGCGCAAAAGAGAATTTTGATTGCTTTGGACGTTGGTGCACTGGGCGGTTTCTTGTGGGAGTAGGCATAGTATGTGTCGCCTCCTCGTGATTTGCTTGTTTGGTAGAAGGAATTTATAACTGAGACATGAATATATTGTTTCATAGGTGTGTCCTATCTCAGCTCTACCTACTCCCTCCGTCCGAAAATACTTGTCATCAAAATAAACAAAAGGGGATGTATCTAGAACTAAAATATATCTAGATACATCCTCTTTTATTCATTTTGATGACAAGTATTTCCGGACGGGGGGAGTACTATTTATCTCAGTCAATATGCTCACGAGGCTGTTGCTTTGATCAATGAAATATATTTGTGGAGTGTTTTCACTTCCTTATACTTCCTCCGTTCCTAAATGTAAGTCTTTGTAAAGATTTTACTATGAACTACATACGGAGCAAAATGAGTGAATCTACACTCAAAATGCATTTATATACATTCGTATGTGGTTCATAGTGGAATCTCTATAAAGACTTATATTTAGGAACGGAGAGAGTACTTATTTGTAACTCCGCCTATGTCTTCTAGGCATAGCCGGTCCCAAGCCCGGGTAAAGGAGGAGGGTTGTGATAGGCTTGGCGAGCCAACGTAAAAACTAGCCAGTCCCATAGGTATGAAACCGATTTGAGCGAGACTAGTACTAGGATGGGTGACCTCTTGGGAAGTCCTTGTGAAAGAGTTTCATATCTAAGGGTTGTGATAGGCTTGGCGAGCCAACGTAAAAACTAGCCAGTCTTTTGGGTATGAAACCCATTTGGGCGAGAGTAGTACTAGGATGGGTGACCTCCTGGGAAGTCCTCGTGAAAGGGTTTCATACCTAGCCTACCCCAACTTGTTTGGGATCAAAGGCTTCGTAAGTAAGTAAGTAAGAGAGTACTTATTTGTATTTGAATTAACCATATTATATCAGGCAGATGCCTCACGCTATTTATTAATACTATAGACGAACTGAGATCTACTGTGTGGTATGGTGAATTATACTTCTGTCGCAGTTTCAGATGTTTAGTGATAATAAGCTTGCAGAATTGTAAATGCACTAGCCAATTTTAGTTGGTTGTCCTTGGGTCTCCGGTAAGGTTGCATATTGCGGTGAATAATCTTCGTTTGGTTGAACTGCTTTTCCTTGTGTTTACCTGTTTCTGATATAATGTGCAGAAAAGAGCTTAAATAGATAGTAAAGTTATCCATGGCTATGTAAGTGTAGGGTTAATCTAAAAATATGAGAAATTTATCCATCTCTATGGTAAGTCTAATTTTTGAGGTTTAGTTTTATCGGAGATTATTAGATTATTATGTAAATTGCCAAACAAGATGTTAGTATCACACCATATGCGTGCATGTATATCCTCCTTGTCTCGTTTTCTTCTATTTTACCAGTTTGGTGTGAGTAATTTTTCTCGATCTCGGTGGTCTAGAGTGGAAATTCTACACAAACAATGATGTATATTGACACCACAACCTTCTTAATACATTTACAATTTTTATATTTAAACAAAATTGAAAGGGTTTTGAATGCATTTGACAACACAAGGTTGTAGGTTTAGCACTTCGAAAAGTTCTTAGTACGTATGTCTATTCGGAGTTATGGGCTGGTTTGTGGTAACAAACTTGTTGTGCAGACTTGGATGGTGTGGTTCTACAATGACAATCTATGTACTTTCTATTAAGTAGGAAGGGCTGCCACCCGTTTCCTATGAAATTATGTCCGTGAGGCTTTGAGGCCCGCCACTCGGACCTGAGTGAATTGCAGGAACCATAAATATACGGAATTGTGCCAAAAAATACTAATTTTTTTCTTAATTTTTTGCAAAAAACACTGGTTGCTCGTTTGGACCGTTTTAAGTGCGTTTATGACAAGGAGGCCCGCATCTGTCGATGTGGCAGCACTGTCCACACGGAGACGCCGTTAGACGGCGTTAGACGGCATTAGACGCCGCTCGCGCACCGGTTCGAGCCGCTCGGGTCAAACACCCCCGAAGCGGTGCAGGCCCACTCCCAGCCCTCACTCTCTCTCGTCCTTCTCCCCTCTCTGCTCCCGCTCGTTCGCCGCCGCCGCCCCCTCCCACATCTCCGACCGCCGTCGCCGCCGCGTCGCCATGGTGTCCTGGTCTGATGACGACATCAGCGAGAACTCTCACCAGTACGTCGACTCAGTTTCATACAAGGGCATCATCAAGGTGAGTTGCTCGAGCTCAAGCTAGGGTTAGGGTTGGGATTTGGGGATTTTTCTGTTGAGCTTGATCTGAAGTTTTGTTGGCTTTCCTTTGCACCTCCAGATCCCTGAAACCATGGATGACTCCGATTTCGAGGGCACTGAACCTGACGTTTTGTGCAATGAACACTCCCTGCCAGCAGAGAGGCGTGTTGCTTTCCAGGGCATCCATACTGGCAGGAGGTTCCTTGCTTGTGCTGTGAAGGTATGTGCCAAATTGATGCTAATCTGGTCATTGTTTAGTACTGATTTTATAGTTAGCAGCTCTGGTGTGTTAGATGCTCAGTGAGTTCAATGTTTATATGTGAGCATGTGCACAATGTTGTCAGCAGGTCTGTCCAGTTAGTTAGGTTGTTAATTAGTTATGTATTTTCTGTGATAGTGGTGGGTGAGTGAGGTCATTGTTTATATGTCAGTATGTGCATAGGGTTGGGATCACTGATTCAGACTTGTTACTTTATAGCATGTGGATTAATGAGTGTGTAATTGTTTAACTCATTGTGTCATATAGCTCATACCTGTTTGTTTAACTGATTGTGTTACTTCATACCTATTTGTTAGTTTATAGCATGTGGATTAGTGAGCACTTTTCACCATTTGTTTAACACTAATATTACATGAGGGAAGAAACTGTTGGCTAGTTGAATGGGTTGATCCATTTTGGCCAGCCTCAATGGAGAATGCATTGACCAAGTTGTGGGATAAGTATGAAGAGTGCGGGAGGAGCAAGATTGAGGAGAATCTGGAAAGCTCATTTGCTGTTCACAATCTGACACAACAGAAGATCAAGCTGCAGGCAAGTTAGGAGAGGTTGGTTGAAGATGTCAACAGTCTCTTGGATTCCCAGGAGCAGAGGGCTCAGATGCAGAGAGATAAGATGCAGAACAAACCTGATGAGAGGAAGCTGCAGGAGAAGTATGACATGCTCAAGAACCCGACAGTTGCTCAAGCCAATGTCGTTAGGAACATGAAGTTGAAGCTTGCTGAAGAGAAGATTAAGTTGCAGGCCTACATTAATGAGCTTGAGAAGGTTGTGGAGCAGACCAAGCTGAAGCTCAATGGGATCAAGGCCATCTTAGATGAATGAGCAGTATAATGTAATATGCTGATTATTAGTACCACCAGCATGGTTATGGGATGATGAGTACTATAATTATGGTTATGTAATGACTACTATTAGATGAATGATCTACTAATCTCTAAATTATGATTATGTCATGTACCTATTTAGCATTAAGCACTATTGTGTAATATGGTACTTATTAGTTATGGTTATGTATGGATCTTCTAGTTATGCTGAATCTGATGTTGTTGGTTGGTTTTGTCAATGCCGATTGACCCTAGACTCATTTGGTTGGTTTTGTCGATGCCGAGAGAGCCTAGACTCACTTGGTTGGTTTTGTCGATGATGAGAGACCCCAGACTCACTTGGTTGGTTTTGTCGATGTCGAGTGACCCTAGACTCACTTTGGTGGGTTTTTCGACGTCGAGTGACCCTAGACTCACTTTGGTGGGTTTTTTGACGTCGAGTGACCCT